GTCAGTGGCGTTCTTGTTGTCAGTTTCTGTCCAGATTGCCTGAGTGAATGTCTGGAGGTGTAGGCACCTCGGAATGATGGTCTTAAGCTAGCACCAAGTCCCTCATCCACCTTTATTCTTTTCTTTACAATAAGGCTTTCAAATAAGTCATGGTTGTACGGCAGTGAAGCATTGGTGTTAAACACTGATGTCATGCTGTCGTTGATGATGATGCTGATGTCTTCTATGGAGAGATAACCACTCCGTTTCAGCTGTGGTCCTTATCGCTGTATATTTCAGTGTGCTCCTCAAGTCACCTGAGTCAACTTGGTGGCCTGTGTATTTTAGACCCAAAGCGTAACAACAACCAAGGTATGTTACTGGGTCATCATTTGAGGCGTCGGGCTTTCTGCTCACATCACTCACGCGAGCATGTTCACCTGTTCAGACGTAAAAATTCAGATGCGTCCAGCGTGCGCAGGTGGGGTAGTGGTAGCACGCTCATCTTGCATGTCAGAAGTGCGGGGTTCATGCACCGGCGCGGCCATTGAATGTGCACTGCCGATGAGTTCAAATAAGGGCGAAACTCGAGTTTAGTGCTCCATCCTTTGGTGTGGACTTACCAGAATAATTACGCCAGGACAAGAGCGTCTTTTACTGACTAGTATTTCTCCAGTAGCACGGACACAGTGGAGGTCGCTACGCTGCATGACGTCCCACTACTGCCGATTGATCGTCGAGCGTAGTCAAACAACTATTCGCAACCGGCGACGAGGCTCACTACTTAGCCGCCGATCATTCTTGGATATATTTTGATTCCGACCATACCATGTTGACTTTTACTAAATTTCCTGGATAAACGCAAGGGGGGAATATTCCATATAGCGACTGAAAAGCTTTCTGAACAACTCGACATATTATGTAATAGTATAAAAGGGACCTCTTGATTAGACATTAACTCTAAGTGGAAACAGTGGCCACTAAATGTGACGCAGGAAACTCAGTGTCTGGAATTTCTAAGTGCGCATAAACTGAGCACTGGATTTTAAAAAAATCACCGTTAGCTCTTTGTACAAAGAACCTGTGATCCTCTGGGACCGCAGCACGTTTCGGTTAGACGGATTGGTAGATGTCAAACGGAGCTTGTGTGTGGATGGAGGGTCGAGCGGAACCAGAAAGCTCAACAAGTGGTCAAGGCACCACGGAGTGCACGAAAGCTGTTCCGGCTGATTCGCAAAACAGGACCAAAAACATCGTCTTTCAACAAGCTAACCAAAAGGAATATTGGAGATCTCATGTATAATGGGAATCATCACTGGGTAGAATATTTTCAGCAACAGTTTAGTCGATCGGTTCCTGCAACTGTCATTCTTTCGACAGTCATCTCGAGCCTTGATCTGTCTTCAAAGACTGATTTTATGAACTGCTATTGCGATTTCTCACCAGATGAGCCTCCAACAACGCCACTAAAGGGCGATTGTAGGAATTTGTGTTCTGCCTTAATTGCGCTCAAGCATATGAGACCAACAACGGCTTGGGCCTCTATTTAGAAAAGTAGATGAAACATCGTACCAAGGGTGCATTTGTCACATCGTCAGTTTTCGTCAAATACTTGAACAACATTCCGACCAACACTATAGTTCTCCTCGACTTCAAAGGATGTTTTAGTTCCGTAGACATAGATTCTTTTGCACATATTTGGCCAAAAAGGAATACACTGTGTCCTCTCTATCCCTACACTTTTGTCGTGTAAGAAATTACACCGAATTGTGGAAGTTTTCCTGCAACCAGTGGAGTTCGGCATGACTGTCCGCTTTCACCCTTTGGGTTCATTATGGAATGTGCATTTCAAGGCGTCGAGCACGCTGGTACCGGAATCACTTAGATAAAGATAAGCATAGTTGGACTTTGCGAATTGCAGCATCTTGTTATCTGATGATGACCACTCGAAATAGAATTTCAAGGTTGGTCTTTTGTCTCAGTAGGCGTTTTGCATACTGGGTATTGTTTCGGGTTTTTTATTCTCCGTGTCCGTGTAAGGAGAGGGACCCGTGTTTGTCGGCCGATTTACTTATCTGGACAGCTGAGTAAGTCTTGACTAATATGACAAATCGGGACAGTGCATGGATTGTCAAGTCGCGGGCAACGTATGTGAAAGTACATCGCTTATGACGTCCGAATGTGTGTACAAAAGACTGTGAATGTTCTGAAATTTGGCCTCTCTGAAGTGTAAACCTTAAGTGGATTTAGACAATCGATCAACGAAGCAGAATCAACAGCGCAGCATATAAAGCTTATCAGGATAGGAAGGCTGGAACACGACATGTACTACACGCACCCAACCACCTTCAGCCAGAGATGCACTGGTTTGTACTCCAAACCCTTGATGATGAAATACTTGAACGATACCAGCGATGCGAGATGAAAACGACTAACTTCACACTGAATGTGTCGGGAATTTCGCGCCCCGTAACTGCGATCCTGTGGCGTTCGTGTTGTCAGTTCCTAGTCGTACTAGCCAGCTGAAGTTTATCCGTCGTCGTGTGCGACCTCTTTTCGGGCTAGGCTATCAGGAGATGGGGCGATTCTGTTACACTGAGATGTTGCCTGGTTGTTGTCCTGTTGCTTATTCTTGGTCGCTTCCCATAAGGGCATAAGCTAGTTGTACTAAGCCCCTTATTTCTACCCTTTATTAGAGCATTCATTCTCACAGCTGCACGACAGCCACGCATCCGTGCTTCCTACTGTCGATTCTGCTGCTAATAGGGGCGCGCCGTTCTATAAAATAAAAAAAAACTGTACGCTCAACGTTAGAAGACGAATCGATAAAACTCAAGGGTAACAAACGGGCAAAACTCCAACTCCGCATTGAGAACGTTCGGTGACTGGGAAGGATATTCGCCCTCCTGTTTGGAACTTGGTCCCCTGTTATTATCCTACCACGTATGCTGGATAAAGACAATGTGCCGCATAAGCGCTTGCGCTGTGCTACTACCTAAGTCCATTGATTCGTCGCGCACATCAGCGGTCCTAGGCCTCAAATGCACACTCCTATCGATAGCACAATCTGCAGTTTTTAGTGTAAAACTACGACTTCATATATTCACGATCTGCAACAAACTGGTATAATGCCGGATTCGTTTAGCATCGGTGTGAGTTGCCTATCGGAACCGGTAGTCGAATCAATTAAGCTCATCATTATCTTCGCTGTCGGACATGTATCTAGTTGGTTCAGCGACTGTGGTGACTGCTGCCATCGAGCAATAAAATCTATATTTGGCTCACCACAGTTGCAACTAGTGGACGTGTGTGGCTCATAGTTCACGCAGTGGTACAGAAACGAGTGTCTAGCGGCAAACATATCAACTTAACCCAACTGATTACTATAGCCCTCGTCCTCATGAATCAAAGAGGCACTGACTGGTTGATCGAATAACTCGTGGCAACAAAAGCCGTGTATCGAAGGGATCTGAATGTGGCCGACATTTTCGAAATAGCCTAAAACGACATGAAAATCTCAGTCAGTCGCACTAAAAATTGGTAGTATTTCCGAGGTAAGACGGGCCAGTAAATCAGGCGGAAGGTCAGCGTAGTGTTGGGAAAGTTGTCATCCATAACCAGCCTGATCCGCACTTAATGGTTTCGTTCGTAAGTGGCCGCAGCTCCTTAAGGGCTTTGTGAATACCTAGCATTTTTCACTTCTGTGACTGCCTGATGATTGGCCCATTAATAGGATTAGCATGGGGGAGAGGAACAGGTATTTTTAGAAACGTGATTTCCAATACAGTAGGACTGAAGGTGCAACTCTTGAAGAACAACCTGGATGTGGCAATTCTCGACTCATGGAGCTAACTCAAAACTAACTGCTTTTAACATTTTCCCAAACATACTGCGGCCGAATCCGATTGCTTTTCGAAAGCTGACCTCCAAACGCTTTCACCAGACCACGAACATTTTTATCTAACCCTAGTGTAGCACTCACCTAGATCAACTTCGACAAGAAAAAACGGACTTTTACACGAGTGCCATTACAGTTCAGGATGTTTGGTTGCGTGGTGAAATTCCATTTTCTTTTCAAAAATCCATTATTAGGTTTGCTTTACATATGGTTCACCGAAGCAAAATTTGTCTCTCACAACTGCACATCTATGTTAAATGAGGTAATCATATAGAATTGTACTAATAATATCATACAAACGGTTATTTACCCTTAGATCTTAGTTCAATCCACGGGCGTAGGTCATCACCGGATCTGTGTTGGAGCTATCCGCGATACGTGGTTTAATTAAGTGAACCCCAAGCACGTTGCACCGAAAACAGACAGCTGTTCTGTCTCGATATCCCTACAGGAGCAATAGTACATCGAGAAACAACAAAAGACTACCGAGAGCTTCGTGAGAGCAGTTTATGTGGACACAGAGTGAGTGAATAAAAAATACAGAAACACAATATAAATGCTGCGTAAAGTTCTCACGTTCACGCTGGCGAATCCATTTGTGCAGACCGGGTTTTCAGCCTACGTCCAACAGGAAAAGGAAAAATGGCAATGACGTCAACTACGATGAACACGGCCAGACCAAAATGCAGACCATTTATTGGGTTGCAAACTTATACCCTCATTTGCCCTCGAATTTAATTTTGACAGGAGATTCAACTAAATCCAGCTAGTAGTTCGATTGAACTGACTGTGCTGATCAGGCCACTCCGTTTTTCAGCCAGTACGTGTTTGCAGATACCGCAATACATCATTCAGACGTAACACTATTAATAAGAGTGCTGAAAACTCTTCGTCAGAGCCTTCAGCAACCTCATGCGTAATGTGCTACATCTAGATAGCGCTTTTGACTGTTTAAACGATGGTTTACTCTGGTGCTTCATTCAGTTTACCTTCACTGAACATCAACGGATGAGTTGAACGCAATTTAAAACCATCCATCTCTGATATATGCGCCCGAATCCACTGTTTACTAAAATACTGTTTAGAAAATATTGTGTGCTAGATCGACAACCTGATTCGCAGTGCTAGGTGAGCGCCGAAACGAGATAGTACTGATAAATGACGGAAAGACAGGCAGGAGTTGGTATGTGCTCATGATAAGGACAGACTCCGGAAGACACTGTCCACAGGAAACTTTGCTTGGAGCAGCAGACCTGCGGATTCTGGTTGTTTAGGATGTGCAAACGAATCAGTGGTCTATAAATGGCTTTGTGCCACTGTTAAAATACATGTGTGACAATAAGCGGCCATACCTCCGTATGCAGTATTGGTCTGTTTGTAGACTTGACTACCAAGCTTGTTGCCCACAGATAACATTTGTTCCGTCGGATAGTGCATCCACTTCTGGGAAATTGCTACCATGCAACCTCATATCACAAAATGTCCTTAGTTGCAAATCTCTACTCCAGAATCATATGCCACAGCCATCATAAAGTAAGATATGTTAGCACCGGCAGCTAGCTAATATTGTCCAAAGTGGGTGATATGCAGGTAGATGATCCATAGTGAAGCGATGAAGTCGTCTAAGGGGCCATACACGCACTAAATCATGCTTACTGTTCACGAGAGTGACCTCTCTTGGCGAATACGACTGTGCGACATACTATATCAGATCTGTTTTGTCTTGATTAATCTGATTTTAATGCTCATACAGTGTATATAAACGGAAGGAAAGAAAGCAACGGGATGAAAACTCAGAAGCTTTCGTTGTCCTGATGAGGTCGGTTTTAAAATCATGAGATTTATATTGGTCAGCATTAAGTTATCAGGAACCTACGCAAGGATACTGTAACGCACGGTTTACCTCGTCTACAATGACTTGAGTGACGGCCTACAAAAAGTGGTGTTCTCATCGCATCACTGAAAGAAATTTTTGAAGTATTGGCAAAATAGGAAGGAAGGTGATCTCCACACTAGCTGCACCAACTGACTTACGAAAACGGGGGATCTTCAGCTGACCATGTGCTCAAGTAGACGTCGCATCATTCGGACTTGAACTGGAGTCTAGCCCACCTATCGGATCGTTTTGGACGGAATTTGAAGGATCGATGTTCCTAGATGGGGTGACCAAAGTTGCCGGTGCGGTATCAAGTGTTACAAAAGAAACTCGCCGCTTCTGACCATAGCTGGTGGATTTAGAAGTCTCAGTCAGCATCTTGTGTTCCGTAACAATGTCCGATTTTATTTCAACAGACTGCAGTGCCTGTTCTTTGGTTGTTGTGGACAAACGTTCATTGTGAGATTGGCTGTTGTTATTCAAATCGAGCGCATGCGGAGTGACATCTGAGGACAGGGTTGTGAGGGGGATCCGACGCTTCTTAGCAGGGCTGGAGGGAGATGTGGGCAGGCTGACTTCCATCGCACGGATTGCTTTACCACTAAATACATCAAAAACAGAGCAGCTGAATTAGGTTAGATTGACGCGGTCAAACTCACATGAACATCATGGGGAAGTTTCGATTTTGAGACCTCAGGTAGTGCATACTATTTGATGTGGAATAGGCAAGGAACCCGTGTTTGTGGGTTGTGAATTGCTAAAGTTCGATAAAGCAGTGTGGTTTACTGCATTCTGTACGGTATTTCCCAACTTGCTTCATTCGTTCATGAAGCAACTGACGGTAAGCAGCAAGGGTGTGGAGCTCCTCGTTCTCAGTCAGTTAACTTGATATTAAAATGGTGGTGAAATTGATACGGTGATCCCACTTCATTTTGAGTATGGACATGCGGTTGCGTTCTAGTATTTTACTTGAAGTAACAACATACATCCGGTGTTGCTGTGCCATACATTCGTATTCGAGAAGGGGTCGATTTATAAAGAGCGCACGAACGCAAAAAATAGTGTATTTCGGAAAATGTCGCCGCGTGATTCGAAAACCAGAAAAAAGGGATATTTGGTGACCAGATACACATTAATTCCACTTTAGCGAGACTCCCCAGGATTTCTTCCAAAGGAGTTCGTTACATGAACGTGTATGAAACGCTTTTTCCAGTAATTTATCCCAGAAAAGTTTTGAGCTTTATGTTTCGTTTTGACCGTTACTCAACTGCATTATCTTTGATTTGCTAAGAAGATTTGAATATTAGCATCCAATCTTAGTAACACCGACTAGTTGCCCCGTATACAAAGTCACATGTGTGCCGTACGGTTCGTCCGATCTAGACCGGAATTCTCAGGATAGTGCCTCGAAAGACCAAGGTAGTGTTCGGTTTTCATAAAACATGGTAAACCTATGCAAAATACGGGTGTTCTCTTTCAGTGATCAATGCTATCCACTTCTGAAGTTGTCGACATGACCATTTGCCCGAATTCACGCAACAGTTGTTTTTTTCTCTCAGAAGTTCAAACTGATCACGGCCACTTATTTTTCGCGTAGAAACAAGCATTAGTGTGCGTCATTTATATAAATCACTTTTCGACTGAGCGTCCACTTGCACGGGTTGTTTCCCCAGCGGAAAGATCCTTGTGTATCTATCTCATAGATGTCAATTTCAGAAAGCCACATAAGTACAGGGGAAAGATTCTTATTACATCCTGCAATGCACTCACCGCAGAGTAGTACTATTGAAGATATCCCAAAACATGGAAGTAGCGAGCTGCTTATTGTGCATTGAATTAGGCAGCACCGCTGTCTTGTACGGAGCACTTCATGTGTGCTCAGGCCCGAGATTTCAGGTCGCAAAGGCAGACCGATATCTGAACAATCGAACTTGAGCCAATGGTAGATGACAAAGACACAAAAAGGTCTTTGTGATTCGCTCTCGAGTGGTGTATGCTAAGCACAAACTTGTGCAGTGAGACTTTTCCCACGTACGAGATTTAAATTAGGGTAATGTGGCTGCAGTTCCGTCTGAAAAATTAGAACAATTCGTTTTTCCCAGCCAGTCCTCACTTTCAATGATCTCTGGTAATGGGCAACAGGACAGTTAGTTACGTAAGCCCAATGACTTTATCAATAACGAACCAGTGTCGCAGGGAAGTATATGATGTAGAGGATACAACGTAATCCCCTATTTACATATGTTCTCTAAGTTCACTGGATGAACAGTGGCGGAAACTGGTGGAATGGGGACAAATTTGCCCCGGCTACTGCTACCAAACAGATTGGAACTCATAACAAGGTTATAGAACCAAACGAAGTTTTATTGCAGTGAGCACGTGTTGGCATCATTCATTTTCGTCTTAGTGATCCCACTGCTACCCAGAAACGAATTTCAGGATTAGTGAGAAGTTCTCGGCGGGTCCTGATCTGAATGGATTTCTGACCGGCTACCAAATACATGCTGAATATACAAGAGGGTATATGCCATAAGTCTAGGCGAAGTGAAGCTACCCTATCAGTGGGTACACCTTTGCACCGAATCCTGACCCTTCAGAGTACGAATGTGCGGTAGATTGTTCATATTGTGATACTTTAAATTTTCTAGCGGGGACAAATAAGTTGGAGATGCCGTTCAGCCGTTTCATCCTTACAGTGCCTGACATTCGATCATCTGAAATGAAAAACTGATCTGTTCACCGAGTGTTCACGAATAAAGAGCGAAGTATAATCGAATCTACCTGTGGTCATTGGGTTTTTCGGGCGTGTGAGGCCTCATGTTGGAGTCTTCGGCATTCATTATCTCTCCGGAAACTGTAGAGTTAGAAACGCTGGTGGGGGGCACTGTGTTCGCCTCATCCGTGCTTTCAGCCATTCTTACCGAAGTCGGTTCACCCATAGGCGGTATGACATCAGTTTTCACACCTATCGGGCCCCGATAAGCTGCGCCCAATTCGCCTCGAGCAAAGTGGATTAGGGAACAGTAGCCATCGGTAGAACAGACTACCACCAGATGTCCGTCTGCTGACCAAGTAGCATCGTTCAGTGCTTGGTAGTGAAATTGTGAAACCTACAACCAACAATAGAGAGGGAGTGGTCTCGTTAGCCAACGACGTACTGGTAGGAACTGGCATCAAGGTTCAGAATGGATGCAGATATCTTTAAGAAAATGTGAGGTGGTTAGGTAGCTCCACACGTCCTTTCGTTAATATTGCGGAATTGATTTTTGAGTGACCGGCTTTGAGACATATAAGCAGATCTCTGAACAAATTAAAGAATTCGTTTTAGGTGCACACACATAATTAGGTAGTCACATTGGGAAGATGTGACTCGAGACAAACATCTGTGGTTCATAGCCACCCATGACTTATAATTCTATGTCTGGACTGGGAGAATTTGGCATCTCCCCAGTTACTATGCTTCATTTAAGCTGCACCGCATAGTCCCAAACCTCAGGGTGGCGAGGCTTCACGGAGGTCTCCGTGCAATTACTATTTACTATGCAAAAAGACCAACATAATACGTTAGTGATTTGAGCAACTGTAGCTGTAGCGAGTAGGGCAACGAGGCTGATGTTATCAAGTGACAAACAATAAGATGTAGGATCGCTTTTGTTGAAGCAACCCAAATTCCTAACCACAGCGGTCGCCGAAGTCCGATGATCTGGTTGGCTTACATTTCATGGCACAGATCGCCGGAGATCATGAAGAGCCTGGTGGTGGTGTTCAGCTAGCACGGTCGCTTCCAATCTGGAATAGGGATCCACATTTTGATTCTTTTCTTCTATTCTTCCATTGCGTACAAAGTGACTTCCCGTTTGTTGTTTAGGTTTTGCGCCTACACCGCCTTTCTTTTTTCTGACCTGTTTGACATTGTCATCGCAAGTTTTGTTTCAACCAACCCGTTGGCTCCGCCATTTTATAGCCACCTTGCTCCAATTGAACGATTCGACTTTTTGAGTTTTGCGCGTTACTCAATGTGGCTCAACTGATTGCTACAGACAATCAATACCGCACGAGGCTTTAATTCATCGGCTTTTCCTAGCGGCGCAATGATTCTTCGATAAGTGATTCGCTTCCTCAAAATTCTTATCTCAGTAATGACGGTCAACTACACCCAAACTCATCACTTTCCTTCAAGCTCACCACCACCATCAGCACCGACAGCAATGCGTCAGTAATATGTACTGACGTTTTACTGCGACAGGTTGAATCTGGGTGTTTGTGTGAGATCGGCTTTGTCACTGTCAAACTAAAACACAATCAATTTGACGGAAGTTGACACAAGCGAAACTTCAGTGACAACGAATCTGACGACCAAGACACCATTAGATATAACAAGTTTAAACTAATTTGGTTTGAACAAACTTTATGATAAATTTCAGTAATGGTATCAGTCGACGGAACGATGAAATCTGATAGATTCAGCTAAATATACAAGAATCATTTACCGAATTCGGTCATGCAAGTGTTATGATGCGACATAAGTTGGCGAAATTGACATGTACTCGCTCTTATCGTCTCAAAACCGCAGTTGATTACGCCGAAATATCCGGCGGCCATAGAACACGGGAATAAGATAATTCAATTCACTAAAAGTAGGTTTTGCATCTGGCCTATTGATGTAGGCAACTAGCTTTTCAGAATACGACAGTACCCGACTATGCAGCTGTTCATATATTACAGGAATCCTGTAGCACAATCTTTGTACGAGCACCAGCTTCAATTTCTAGCTAATGAGATTTTATGAGTTGGTAATACGTCTTGTTGTAAACAAGCACATGGAAGGTGTAATGACCCAAGGACAAGTGAGCGCCCGGATCTTGCAGCTGCAAATTGAGATGAATGTAAAAAAGTAACGGACAACACCTGCAGATTGGTGTAGATGGTACGGTCAAGAAACTAAAACCTCAACGAATGTTCTTAATCTGGTCCCATCATCCAAACACTTTACGCGTTACCTCTACTCCCTCTCAGGCCATGATACAAGTCCACTGGACAACAGCATCAAATGGGCCTCGAGGTAGCTCAGTGGGTAAGACGCAAACTTAATGACCGGAGGGTCCGTGGTTCTAACCCAACCCCTGCATCACAGCTACTCCTGTCTAGGCCTGAACAACCTAGTGGTACCTCAACCCTCGTGGCTCCTTCAGGTGGCATTGCAGCTATGTACCGAAAGGGTCTTACAGCTGAACGATGATTACTATCTATTTTATTATTAAATGACGCAGCGCCCCCTGGGTGACATGTCCGAATGCCAGAACCTGACGCAGGACGATATCGATGACGAACGAGCCCGCGTGTTTCATATAATACTAACTAGGGGTGCCACGCACACTGACACAAATTCATGTGTCTAAACCTGCCACCAGGCGAATCAGAGCCTGAAATTGATGTGTTCTGTTAAGCGGCGATTTAACAGAAGGGTGAACTAAACAGAAGTAGGGGTGCGGGTTAGCCAACTAATGAACCGACACAAAGAGTGGTCGCCATATGAGAACCGCTGATCTATACGGGGTCTGAAGATCAAAGTATGCAGAGCTCCATATGGGTTTGCGCGCGACACTGTGTGGACAGCAGCTGAGCGATCAAACCCGACATACAATCCTGGAAACTTCGGATGTGCATCAAGTTGTTAAGGAGGGTGGAAGTTCGTAAGCTCTTCTTAAAACGTACAGTGCGGACGGAATGCAATGCAATAGAGTGAGCAACCTTTCTGCACATCTGGCAGCAGTGTAGTATACGGGAATGATAAACCTGTTTGCGAAAGAGCGAGAAAAAATCGCTATTAGAATATGTCCTGTTTTAATTAAGTTCTCGCGGTCAGTCTGATCCGCGTACTATTTACTGGTTCGCAACAAGGCAAAAAAGAAGCCGCACAAAGATGTTGACACCTGTCAGGTGAGGAAGCATAGGAGTCACTTGTGGGCACATCTACGGCTGCATTAGAGACAGTGTTACAATACTTGCATTTTTAGATGCGGTACAGCGACATTACACCGAATCGTTCACCATCGTTTGAAAACATAAACGAGAGAATCAGCTGGGTTCCAGGTGAGTCTCCCTCAAAGCCGAATTTGCTTGCAAATGAATGTATTTTGCCAAATCGTCCACTCTTTGCGTGAACTGTCTGGCTGGCAGAACCTAACCAGGAGTAGTTGAACATCGGGGTTAGAATGAAACGGGTCCCTCGAAAACAAACTTCTGTCTTAATCCTTGGAGAGAAAATGAATTTAGAGGGATACCTCTCACTTACAGTCTGAAATTCTGGAGATACGAACTTTCAAGGAAGACGCTAAAGGTGTGCAGGATGACAGTTTTTGAGGACATGTTCTTGGTATTCACAAAAAGGATGCAAACTACAAGGGAACTCACCTGGGCGAAAGGTGAAGTCTGCTGTGTATCGTAGAACAGTACACCGTCCTCCAAGACCAGACAAAATAACCAGCGGTAGGGGAGATCAAACAAACTATTAGGATGTTGTGTACCTTCTACCAGGTTAGACCCCAAAGTGGGCGTTGTTCGTAACTGAAAAGGCTGAGGACAAAATCGAACGCACACTACTGGCCTAGGTCCCGTTGGCAAACTGACAACAGGCTTTGTGAAGTTTGACCGCAAGAAAAGGTGAGCAGCGTGTTGCGGAGCGGCTACTGGAAGTGGTAGAGCATTTGTAGGTTCCGGTGGGACTGCTCCTGATGTCGCAAGTGATGCTGCAGCAGCCACGCTGCCGGCGAACACAGCACCTTCCAGGTTTCCGGAGGGACAGGCGAGCAACAGACCATCAGGGCTGAAGGTGAGTCGACGAAAAAACGATTTCCACGAGTCATCCTACAAGAGCCACCAGCGTCAGAGTTGGAAAAGAATTTTTAGAAAGTTTTAACTGATATCGACATGCAATGTCAGTCTTGAGTCAAACAACACGTGCTAAAAAACACCCGTGGGTGCAGAGTAGGCTCAGAGGTTCTCAAGGTTTTCAATTTCAAAATATAATTGATAGGGTCTTTAGACATGTGGCAAGAGTAGTCAACCAAAATGACTTATCCTGCTAGTGCCACTCAATCAAAGGGAACAACTCCTATTTAAGTGTTTGCTGCTGTTCAATCACCATTCATTGGACCAAAAAAGCTGTAGAAATAACCCAATGAGTTTCAGTAGTTAGGATCATACTGAATTGGTTGGATGGCGGTTTTTGCTTCAATTTCTAAATCCACATATCCCACGTAAATCTCCACCCAAAACAGAGGACGGTTATTCCCCATCCGTACAACCTGAATAGGCACTGGTTTCAATGGGGATGCAATCAAAGGCCGTGAAAAAATCAGGTGAAGAAAGTGGTAAAACGGCAACATGCAGGTGGACCTCACAAGTGGACATCGATGCTGTGTCTCACATTAGTCAAAAAGCACTGAAGAATAAACTCACCTGAAACAGCCGTTGTTTCCCAGCTTTAGCAACGTGGGCTAGACATGTTCTAGTTCCTGCGCGGTATACCCGACATGCTCGGTCACTGCTGAGGCTGGCTACATAAAACCCAAGTGGGTCCCACGTTACGCCCTGGACGTAGTGCTTGTGATCCCTAAGAATCAAGCACTTAGTAGCGCCCGATCCGCTGGAGGGTGTAGGAGGTGGAGTTATAACGTTACCATTCGGGCGGTCTTCAGATAATGGAAGTTTTGCGGACTTCTCGTCTGTCGGTGGCAAAGTGGATTTCAACGCAGTGGGAAGATCCAATTGCCAGACTATCAGTGAGTGGTCCACGGAGCCAGATATCAGTGCCTGGCTATCTGGTGCCCAACAAATATCGTAAATGTCTTCAAGGTGCCGTCTGAGAGAGATAATGGACAAAATGTGTTCCATTTAGCTGACGTTAAAAGCCTCGTTCTTCACAGTACGCATTTTCGAAACTATTAATGATGATACAGATTATAAATTTACTGTAAGGACACGTAAATTCGTAAGGAAAGAGAACGTTGTTTCATGACCCCGGGCTCATGATTGTTATACCTATCAAGGCATGACCATTGGTTGTCACTTAGTGCTTAGCTGGAAAGAAGCCGAATTTCAAACGCAAAATGTAGCTTGATGGAAACTCACATTAACAGCTATGAAAGGAGCTAGTACTGGTTCAGTCATCGTTAATGACAAACACATCCACGGACTGCATCAAAGTGAGAAAATAAAGAGTAAGCGGAAATCATATGCATAGTGAGTTGAAGGAAGTATGGAATTAATGGGTCAGATCTACTTGGAGTACATAATGAGTTACTCTTGTCCCTTGCTGCCGGGGGCGGAGGATTTTCGTGCAGCCTCTATCAATGCACACTGTTGAAACCTCACCACATTTAACACTAGCATAGACAGTGGTGCGGTTTCCTGCAGATTGATCAGTCCTTCTCGAAACACATTGGCGGGTTCAGAGCAGTTCCACATTTGTAGGGCTCACTTGTTGGATATGAGCTGCATCAGTGCGGCGTAACAAAGTAGATATACACAAGGGAGAAAGTCCGGTAGAACGCGTTAAAATACTCGCCCGAGTAATCTGAAGCTAAGTAGACGAGTAGTAACGTGGTGTGGTGCGCCAGTTTCGACTAACCATGTACTATGTGAAAAACACGACATATTTATAGCCTGTTGACCAACAATCGGTTAATCAAACCAGAGGTAAATCTAAGGCGACCAAAAGCCTGGTTTGGAACCAACCAGCCAAGTGCTAAAGGGAGGAAATAGCACACCTCTTCCGCAGATCGTCCAATTACCGTTTCAGAAGAGCTCGGTAAACAGTCGGTAGTTTTTACCTGGGCAACGATTATCCTTTGAAACAAAAGCTTCGTTAGGCCAAGTGAGCAGGTCACCAAGTTGGCCAGGTTTTAGGCAGATAGAGAACCAATCACCAACACATCTTCAGAGTACTGCGATAGACCAGTGTTGAAGGTCAAGTAAAGGGTCTCATCGGTTGTGTGGTTGCCTAAATCTTGCAACTGATGAGTTGGGAGTTTCAAATTATTGTGGACCGTAGTCCTGGCCTCAAGACTTCAACATTATCTAAATCTACTTTGTTCCGTGTCGAGTGGATGCTCCACCATTGCTGAGACTTTTAGTGAAGCTCGATATTCATGTGCGTTTCTCGGCGCCCCGTTGATTTTTCTCCCGTACTCTCTGGTTCTGATGTGAAGTTGCCTAGCCGTTCGTCCTACACAAACCTCAGTGCAGTCATTGCAATTAATGTTATAGGCAGTCCATGGTCCGGTTTACCAGAAGGCGATCTTTCAATTGCACCAGTGCAGAGCGTAGAATGTTCCCCTTCAGGAAACCTACTCTTAGGTTGGGTGTGTTTAGAACCCTTCGGCTGACTTCCGATCTTCCTGGTTTTATATGAAATAAGAGCATTCCAAATTCATTTCTTGTCGGGTTTCGCCACCGATACCAACATCCTTCTTAATTAACGCCTAATCAGACTAGTCAGATATCCACTACCCCGAAGGCTGTTGCTTAATCGAAATCGTCCAGCTGTAGCACCCTTTCGGTGTTTAGCTGCCATGCCACACGAAGGAGGCACGAGGGCTGGGATACTGCCAGGTTGCCCAGTCAATAAATTCGCGCTGTTGCTTACTTCAATTTGGGCCGCTGACGGACAAACTTATGTGAACAGTGTCCTTACGCGCTCAAACATTGATGAAGCGGTACTACCGAATACACATTTCGGATTGTCCAAGTGTCCGTTAGCTTCTCGTATACTGTAGTCCTAAGTTTTCCCAGTCACGTCACAAAACGAAGGATGATGGGCCAGTAGGAATGGTATTACTCAAAGAGTGAACATATAAATATATATGTATGGCGCATAGTTTCTCAACCAAATACACGCATGAATTGGCCACAAAGACAATGCCTCATGAACGTTTGTATTTACATAACTCTTGCTTGAACAATTCTCCATCTGTCCTGGCGCAATTAATTCGGTTAGTCCACACGAAAGAAGGGAAGCAATGGAGGCGACTTGCACCCTTAGTAGAATTCATCATTAATACATATCATTGGCTGTGGAGAGTCTGAACCCCAGACTTGTTACCGCTACTCCACCATTCGCCAACGCACGCTTGATACATTCAAATTAACGCATCTGAACAGATTGGGATGTTCACACTTGAGCGATTGACTGGTTTACCCAACGTTTCGAATGATATGACTCTGAGATTGTTTAAAGTGCGACCGTGCATCCCAGTATTTATAGTCGGACCAAGCGTTTCCTGAATGTATCCACCGTAGACTAAAAGCGCCCACTCTGTTACACGACTACTTGTCTCGTGAGAGAAAGATTAGAAACTCGCCACTCGTTCCATTTTTAGCTATCCACAGGCTCATTCCATATGAATTCTTTCCATCGGAAAGATACCCTGACAAAATACTGCAACTAAACGAGGGATTACATACTTTGGTTAACAGACGAAGAAACTCATAATTATCTACAGAACTAACTAAACACAATAGTCACATTTGCTGATATTTAGTGACACCGCGCTACTCATCATAACACCTACAAGACCTCCGCAAGTAAGAGAGGTTAGATAACAAGGGAGACAAAGTACGACGATAATAACAGCTGAAGAATACTTATTCGAACTTTTGATGGTAGGATGCAAAGAAGGATCGACAGTTCACTTCCTTGCACAATATCAGTCGACACAAATCGGCAAAAGACTTGGTCACACGACACGAGGTAACCAACTGGGAAGACAGAAATAAGGATAGCGACGGTTAATCTATGGAACCGTGGGGCCTGCCCCGCAATAAAGACGTGCCTGCAAATTTACGTTATAAGTTCGGGAAAGATCCGGGTTCGGAAATGTCATTCAGTAGCATAACAGTGCGGGTTCCCAGACAAAATAAAACCGTTCCTTCAACTGACTGTGACCTCGAAGACAAGAGTGATTGTTTCTTGAAGATGAAGGCATTCCTTATTGACTCGTTGGTGCTGGATTACCGATAACCAGAAAAGAGACTTCACAGTGTATCCACAGAGAGGAAAGGTCAGTGACGTAGACTCAGATTAACCAGTCAAAAGAGGAAACGACGTAATAGTTCGTTTGAAATTTCCTTCTGGGGTATCCTCTGTGGTAGGCTAAATGGATGGGGCTTAGGTTACAGTGTAAAACACCCTCAAAACGATAAATTAAACGTTAGGTGCATCCAATACTGCACACAGCCAACAGTTAATAGTGTTAAAGCCTGGCACATTGTCCAAAGAGAGCGGTGCCGTGTATTTGAGCCATAGTGAAGTTGTTTGAACACTGAATGTTCGCGGAATACAATTGGAAGTCTTTTTTCAGCGGCAGTGGGATCACGTGAGAGTCTTTGCTGAGTAGCCCGCGCAAAGATGAAAGATTCCTCATTTTGACAATTGTGCAAATAACCATGGTGTTTCGCCGGATTTCTGTTAAATGAACAGCTCGATAGCAGCTCGATGTACGCCAAATCGCTTTTCTAGTGAGTCTTACTAGACGCGTTAACTGCTGATATTTCCTTTTGAAAGGCTACCACATAAGACGATAAGCAGGACAACGTGAATCGTAAAAGCCATGAACGAAACGAGCATTTGTGCAACCACGTTTCAGTCCCAAAGATCTTAACAAGCAAACGTCGGTCAAAACAACAGAATGGTCCGGATGTATTGAGGCTCAACAGGAAGACTACGTCGTTGACAATTCATAACCGATCGACCTAATCTTATTTACAGAAGTTGTATCAGGCGGATGGACTTGGTTCCAAGGCAGAAGAATGCGAAATGTATTGGAAATCTGATCCAGTGCAGAATCGGTCACCAGAATGCCAAAACGTTGTGTTGGCATGATGTACATGGCCGGTAACCTGTGCCTGAGTTTCCATTTCAGACCGGCCACCAAGATTCACCTACCAAACTCTATCACCAGTTTCTGCGTATAGTCATTTGCACGCTTTGGTTGACCATAATATGTTGGTCGCACGACATGACGTTTGCTCGACAGGATACGTAAACCAAACGTACTTCCTCTGATTGGCGGTCAGAAGGCTTATTCGAGTGTTATTGGGCCGAAACCGCTCATCTCACAAACAAGGAAATACTTTCAAAGTATTACTTCCGGATGTCCCTTGATAAGTTGAGGATAGTACGATTCAGACTGCTATCATCCGCACAGGCTATCGGAATTCGACTGTGTAACACAGGACTCAGTGTTGAAAAAACTTCTGAGGCCTTTTAACTTGTCCTGGCCTACAACCTACCTGTTCCTGTGTGACGGCATCCATTTTACTCCGTTCCCTCTAAAGCATCTGTGCCCGCGGATTTATCTAGTGATCTAGTTGTACATACGATTGTGACCTATTATCCGATCACAAAAACAGCTTTGCTCACAACCTTCCTACTTATTAAAAGTAGGTGCCGTATGTTGCATCGTTGTATTCGTTTTCCTGCTCCAATTCTCGAATGCAACTAGACCGTCTCTTAACTTTACCATATAGTATAACACCACACTTCGGGAAATGCTCGCAGTAGCCAAAATGGTTATTCTGGAGTGCGTCGAGAGTTCGATTCAGCTCAACTTTCCAGCGGTGGTTTCAGATGATGGAGTTGGAGGCGATTGCCCAACCAGTACATTGACACCAAATGGTTTTGGCTGACAGGACTAACAAGCGGAACGAAAAAATGCAGCCTACAGTGGAAGGGTTGTACAACTCTGTATCATGAACAAAATATGGTCACGGTCTAAAAATAGAGAATCATGATCCTCATATAAAAGAGCCAGACTTTCGGCGAAAAGAGCGCTAGTGTTAAAATCAACAAAGGACAAACAC